TTAAATTTAGGTAAAACTTATGAAGTATAAATTCAAAGAAAAATATTTAAAATAATAAGGAATGTATACATAATTAATCCAGGTAGAATATAACAACTATAGATTAAAACACAAAATAATTCAAAATTATAAAGAAGATATGTCTAATAAACTCAAAATTATTTGAATTTAAATTTAAAAGAAGAAAAGTTAAGAATGACATATGCTACGCTTTAAATGATTTATGAAAAAAGTATTTCTCTAGTGAGTCCAAAATGACGTCGTTTTGAGATTATAAAATTAAAATATTATAATGATAAAAACTAATATAAACTTGCAATAAATTAGAATTACAAAAACATCTTGATTTTCATCATAAAACAACGTTGTTTTGAGCTCACCGGAAATAACTTATCTCCATTGACTTGAAAAATCCTTTTACCCAATTTTATATGATGTACTCTCTGTATAATTCCAACTTTATCGGATGTCCCCGAAGGGACTTATATGATGTATTCTAATTTAGTATATAGGAGCACAAAAACTAAGATATAGGAAGAAAGAGTAAATTTTAATGTAAGAAGAAATTTTTTAAAGAAATTAATTTAAATATATAATTCAAGATTTGAAGAGAAAAAATTAAGGCAAAAGGAAAATATTTAAACAGCTAGAAAGAAGAATAAATTTTAACCCAAAAAAAAGTTAAAGGAAAAAATATTTATCCTTTTAAATGACACAAGTTATACGAGTTATGTTATTTCACTTTCACAAAGGGGGACCCACACCTTTATTTTTTTGTCAACTCTCTCTCCTCCTTTATCTATCTCTTTCTCTCTCTTAAAATGACACAACTTTACATATTTTAAAATGACACACACTTTTCCCTTTAAATAATTTGTAAGAGGTTATAAATAAAATCTCCATACCCAAAATTGACAAATATATAGCATTGGAAATATTATAGGAATAAGATATTGTGCCTACTTTTTTTCATGCTTACCTTACTTACCAATGTCTAACACAGTTAAATTAGAATCTCAAAAGGAAAGAGAAATGGTAAAGATTAGTTGAGATTCTAATCTAATGGTATTAGAGAGGAATAAATAAAATGGGCATGAAAAAAGATAAGTAAAATAATTTATCACAATATTATAATGTGCGTATTATCAACTTGAGGTTTGATTATCCTCTTTTATTCTTCTTCTTCTTCTTTTATTTAAAAAAAATAAAATTGTATTGTATTAATATGAGGAAATATCATAACATTTGAGCAATGATTTACTCTTAATCTAGGAACTGATTCAAATTATACATAGGGGAATATGTTTTTTTATGTTCTACGAGACAAATTGTCTTGTGCCCACAAAAAATGAGTGAGACTTTTTTTTTCTCTCTCTTCTCTATCTCATCAGCTTTTTGTATATGTTACATGAAATAAAATTGTCTCATATAACTTGAGAAAGATATTTCCCTTCTATATCATAGTATATATGGTTTTGATTTCGTTTTATGGCCCAAATATTTTACCAGCATTATCAATGGCGTCAGATCATGTCAAATATTACATAACCTTCAGCATATCATTAATCAAATTATCTTGTATTTGATAGACACTAAAGACGAAGATTGTCAGGCGGGTCCAGGGGGAAGCTCGTGGCGGGGGGCCACCACCAATGAGCTAAGTGGATCAAATACACCAAGTGGGTCCGACACCATATCTCAACTCAAAACCTTAAGGCATTGGGTTTATGGGTCTTTCCACTTATGTACTCTTCACTTAGCCCATTACCAACCAATGTGGGACTCATCACACTTGAATATCCCAACAATCTCCCCCTCAAGTGTGAAACCAACCATTGGTATGCTCCCCCTCAACCGAGTACCCGAAGCGCAAAGTACTCGACCCGCCTTCTAGCCAATCACCAGGCTAGCTCGAGTCCAACCAGGCTCTGATACCACTGTTAGGCGGGTCCAGGGGAAAGCCCGTGGCGGGGGGGCCACCCCCAATGAGCTAAGGCTACACTAACCGTAGCAAGTAGATCATTGGTGGTGGCCCCCCCACCACGGGCTTCCCCCTGGACCCGCCTAACAGCGGTATCAGAGCCTGGTTGGGCTCGAGCTAGCCTGGTGATTGGCTAGGAGGCGGGTCGAGTACTTTGCGCTTTGGGTACTCGGTTGAGGGAGAGCATACCAATGGTTGGTTTCACACTTGAGGGGGAGATTGTTGGGATATTCAAGTGTGATGAGTCCCACATTGGTTGGTAATGGGCTAAGTGAAGAGTACATAAGTGGAAGGACCCATGAACCCAATGCCTTAAGGTTTTGAGTTGAGACATGGTGTCGGACCCACTTGGTGTATTTGATCCACTTAGCTCATTGGTGGTAGCCCCCCACCATGGGCTTCCCCTGGACCCGCCTGACATTGGTACAGATGGCTTATCATCTTCGATCACGTGCCACACGTCCCTGTCAACGAGCAGAGCCTCCATCTTCAGCTTCCATAACTCGAACCTTTTTCCTCCGAACTTTTCAACCTCGACCCGTGATTGGCCAGTCGACATCCTCTCCAAATCAAATTCGCAGTTTTCTCTATGCCAAGAAAAAACCCTAAATCGCGAAACCCTAATCTGTCACAGGAACCCTGGTCGCGGAACCAAAGCTCTGATACTAATGTCAGGCGGGTCTAGGAGAAAGCCCGTGGCGGGGGGCCACCACCATTGAGCTAAGTGGATTAAATACACCAAGTGGGTCCGACACCATGTCTCAACTCAAAACCTTAAGGCATTGGGTTCATGGGTCCTTCCACTTATGTACTCTTCACTTAGCCCATTATCAACTAATGTGGGACTCATCACACTTGAATATCCCAACAAAGATTACCAACCTCAGCTTTATTATTGAACTCTTCTGATTTGTGAATCCATTTTAAACCCATCATTGTATTTAGAGATGTGCAAAATAACCAAAAAATAGAATCGAACTATGAATCGAACCGAACTGCACTTAAAATAACTGATTTTTAAAAATCATTTCATGAATCGAACCAATTTTTACAGAACCAGATCATGAACTAAACTGGTTTTTAAATCCAGTTCAAGAATCAAATAGAACCGAACCGTTTTCGAATTGAACCGAACCGAACCACTTTCAAACCGAACCGTTTTTTATTACTTTATTTCTTTATTTTTTTTCTTTTTAGAGGAGGGTTGACCCGAACCAGTTCCTAACCGAACCAAATCGTTTTCAACCGAACCAAACCATATTCGAACCGAACCAAACCGAACCGGTTTTGAACTAAACCGAACCATTTTCGAACTAAACGATTTAAATCAATTTGATTCGATTTTTCAAAAAATTCAATTCATCTATACACACCCTTAACTGTACCCGCGTTTTGCCATAAAACTACAAAGCTCATGGTCATTATCTTGTCTGTTCCAGTGGACATGTATTAGAGGAGAAAGAACCTCATGAATGAGGTAAGCATCATGGACTGGTCTGTCACTCTTTTGTCTTGACAATGTATGCATATAATATAGTGCTCGTGTTGATGCTTCAAAGCATGCGAATGCTTGCATCACACATGACTTGATGCTTCCCTAAGCAGGAACCCATATGCGCCTATAAAACAAAACAAAAATAAGAAAAGAAAAGAAAATACATTGTCCCTCGGCATTGTGACACAAGACAACTAGCTAACAAATACCATCAAAGTAGGCAAAAGCTATAAAGCCTAATGGGACATTGGGACTGTTGCCCAATGTTCAGTTGCAAGCATCCCTTACCAGTGCTCATTGGGCTCCACAATCCTCCTCCTCTCTTCAAGTATTTGTGAAATATAAATCTTGTTCTCTAAACAATCCTTGCACGTGAGAGCCCCAACTCCCAACTGAAAGAAAGCCTATGGATTTCATCATACTAGTCCTAGTAACCCACTCTCTACCCAAAAACAAATTTCACTTTTAAATTTGCGAAAACTGTATATCATTTTGAAGGATATAAAGTTATATCATTTTAAGTGAGAGAAAGAGATAAATCATAGGAAAGAGAATAAGTAGAAAATTTTTTAAAGATGTGAGTCTCACCTTTAAAATGAAACATCTTTTTCCCTTTGATTTTTTGTATAAAAAGGTGATTCTTGTAATAGCTGTAAGGTTATTTCTTTATGATTAGAAGATCACAGAGTTCTAACTCAAAAAAAAAGAAAAATTATATATAAGGATAAGATTGCGTACATCTCTATTCTCATAGAAGCCGCGTAATGAACCCTAAACCACCTCCTTCCCTCCCCTTCTTTTTTGGGACAGTGACCATTTTGCCACGTTTTGGCAAAAAAATTACCAGAATGCCACGCGAACAGTAAAATTTTCCAAATTGCCACGCGGCATAATTCGCTACACAGTGTAGCGAATTATGCATGCAAGTAATTCGCTATACAGTGTAGCGAAATATGCCACGTTAGAATGCACAGAACCAAAAAGTGTCATGTGTCAAAATTGTTGAAATTCGCTACCTAGGGTAGCGAATTTCAACAATTCTGACACATGGCACTTTTTGGCTCTGACGTGGCATATTTCCCTACACTGTGTAGCGAATTACTTGCATGCATAATTCGCTACACTGTGTAGCGAATTATGTCGCGTGGCAGTTTGGAAAGTTTTACTGTTCGCGTGGCATTCCAATAATTTTTTTGGCAAAGCGTGGCATTTTGATCACTGTCCCTTCTTTTTTCTTGCAAAAAGAAAATTACCTTATAGGTGCACAAGATTTTCATGCAAGTGTAGTGAAGTGATATATGTAAAATAAAAGAAATGAGATGGGCCTTGCATATCTAATCTGGATTTGCTGGGTTAATGACTTCTTTATACTAGTGGCTGAGAATAGATACTAGGTATGTAATTATCCACGTGTCGGCATAAAGACTAAAGAGCATAGAATTTCTATGTGACCTGTGATATTGAATGAGATCTTTGTAAGCACAACGTCATACTACATATTGTCTGGCCATGAATTTCATCTAGTGCCCCACTTGAAGGGTTGCTATAGAAATCTACATATATTGCAACTTCACTGATTACAATGGAAGCTACACTGCTATTGGATTTAACTACAAACAGTAAATAATTAACAACAATAATGATAAAAAACAATTAACTTAATTATCCCATTTGGATAATGCTGGTAACTAGATCACTTGCATCATCTAATTTGGCAAGCTTATTTCATCAAGATCATCCAATGACAAGAAAACTTCATCCAAACAAGAGAGCTCTGTTCCATCACCACCATCATCATCATCACCCTCCTCATCACGCTCATAAACTCGACATATCACCCATTTACTATGATCCTGAATCAAACAAAAAGGGGTTAAAAAAAAAATAAAAAAAATTCAATAATGGAAGATAGCTACATGTACGATCTATGTATTAGTACTAACTGTTTTTGGTTGTGCTTTTATTTTGGATGATCTGCTAGAGGAAGCAGAATCTGTTAAACGATACTCTTGCATTATCCAATTGGTTTTGTTGCCATCAGCAGCTTCTCCCATATGGAACACATAACATTTCTTCACACCAACTCTCTTGTTGCTTGAGCTTGCAACCACTGGTTCTTCCATCCCCATTGGCATCCAATAACCATTTCCAGTGACCCTATTTTGTGTCCTTCTGCTATAGTAGTACCATTGTTTTCCCTCTGCCAAAGCTCTACCTGCAGATATGCACAAGTTAATACACACCAACTTCAATTTTCTAGCTATTAATTTGTCATGCAGTCTAAAACCTCAAACTGCAATGAAATTTTACCATGAAGTTCCCATGGATCATAAGGGTAGAGATCAAGATCAGGGATAACATCTGGATGACAAGGTAAAAGTGATGCCTTTCTATGAAGGAAATGGACTACAAGCTCTTCATCTGTGGGATAAAATCGAAACCCGGGTGGAAGGTTGACATTGTTATCTCCCATTTAAAGCAATAAGAGAAGCAAATGAAACAGATAGAGCAAGAAAGGTGGAGTGAAAAAGCAATGGAGGATGAAGGTGGTGGGGGTCAAGGTATGGTATTTATAGAATTGTTGTAGTGTAAAGAAGGGAGGGATAGAATAGAAAGACTAAATAGACATTTTTAAGAGACGCATGACGTGAAACTGAAGGTGATGTTTATCTCGTACAAATACATAACTGATACATTACTATATTTCATCAAATATTTGATAAATGTTATGGGCACTTTCAGCACTCAACACCAAGCAAGCAAGTGCTGATAACGGAAAGTGATGGATATATACTTTGGCCAAGAAAACGGGATATCCAAAATTGTGTTGGAAGTAGGCATGTGAGATGGAGAGTGTTGCAGCAGATTCTTTCAATTTTATTGATTTTTTTTCTTTCTTATTGACACACTTTTACTTATTGTTTATGGGATGGGTTATATTTACAAATTCTACTATATACTCCGGGTAGTAAACTCGGTTAGGAATATACTTCTCGGAGTACATAATATAATTTATAAGAATTGGTAAATAAAAAAGTTTGTAAATATAACTTATCTCATTGTTTATAGGTATATAAACTTTTAGGGAAAAATATCTAAGAAAATTCTTCTAAAACAATATTAAATATAGGGTTTTGCATCTATCATTTAACATGACCACAACAACTTTCCTACACACACAACATTTTGTGGGACTCACAATTTTTGAAACCAAAAAAAAAAAAAAAAATTCTGGCACGCAAAACGAATCTCTATAACATAACACAATCACTTTTCCTACAACATAACTCTTATAAAACCCTTAAATATATAGACTTACATACATTATTTTACATTTATATGTTTTCACATTTAAAAGGGAGAGTCTGATGCAGTGATAAAGTTATTCTTTTGTAATTCAAAGGTATACAAAAGTAAAGCTATATATAAGGATTATCTTCACCCCTACTTTCGTTAATCGGAATTCAAGGGGAAGTGATTTTTTTAATGTTTTTAGATTTAACAACTCTCACTAATATAAAGTAATATATATAGTAAAAATGTGTAAGAAGAATTATTTTTTTCTTTCATTGAAGATGTGGGTCATCATCACACTTCATGCTGATATCATCCATCTATGTTACTCATTAAATTGGGGTGACAGACCAACCTCTTGGAGTGTACCTATATATGCTTCATAATTATTAGCAATTATCATAGGATTCTTAGATTTATATAAATACAAGGACTTTTTTGTTTGCTCTCTACCCATATGCGTTTGCCTTGCATTGTAATCAAACGGATTAGTAGGAGTAGCACAGAGGAAACTGCACATACATTCCACATGAAACAATTGCTAAGGTCAATCAACTATTCTTTGGAAAGGGCCGGTAATTTTAACTGATTTGCTTGGGTCATTGGCGGGGCCCAAGAAGCACCCCATTATTTATATAATTAATCAATTATTAAATCTTGCATTGGAAAGAAACAAACATATAAAACTGTACTAGGAAAGAAATACTTTGCTTATAACTCTTCCAACCTTAAATTTCATTTTGCAGCTTTATTATTATTATTGATTTTTTTTTCCTGATTTAGGAGGTCAGCAATTATATTTCTTCCATTAAAGTAGACAACATTATTCTGTTTTCTGATGACTAATCTGTATATCGGTAGTACCATCTGAGTTCAATTATAACCATATTGAGAGTAATAAATGTAAGAGAATTACTATTTGCAGTACAAGTTTTACACTGTCTTTCCTACACGTCATTATCTCCTTTAAGTTAGTACCAACTACCAAGATACTCCAATTAAACTAATAGGCATTAACACCAGAAATAAGATGATTTTCTTCGATATTCTTTTTGAGAGAGATTTAAAGTCTTAATTTCGAAGTCCACTTTAAATCAGAGTAATCACGAAACGATAAATCGATTGAAATATCTCAAAAAAAAAAAGAAACAAGAAGTTACAATTTCAAAATCTTGGCGCCTTGTCATGTTGATTTTAATTCCCAAGGCTTGTTACTAAGTTCAAAAGTAACTTGTACTTTAGATATATGTGGATGTAGAAGCACTATCGTCCTGTATCCTTCGTGTCTTCAAATCTATGCCCCATTTCTGGGCTCTAGTGGACCAAGAATTGAGAAAGATCCTTCCACTTACAAGGATAATTTCATCTACAAGGCCCAGTGAGCAACATTCCTAAATTTATGAGCTTAGTTCTCCATCCCCATTCCTAACCTTATCTGTGGAACAGAGAAAATAATAATTAAAAAAAAGGCAAACCTGGTGCACAATGCTTCCTTACTTGTTAGGGTAGGAGTAGGGATTGATTGTTTGTAATCTTATCCTCACGTTCTTGCAAAGAGACCACTTCCTAAACTCGAACCCGTAACTTTCAGGTCATAAGAAACAACTTTACCGCTACTTCAAGGCTAACCAATAGAGAGGAAATATTAATACTTCATGAAAAACTTTGAAGTCACAAAATGCTACAATTCTATTTCATACATATATCTGTGGAACATATTTTCTAATCAACGGAAAGGATAAGAAGTTGTGACTATAGCATTTACCTAAAAAAGGGAAAAGTTGTGATTATAGCTTTTCTTCATAGGAAATATCTCAATTAATTTTACGTGAAAAATAACGTGTATAGAATACTTCTATTGTGGGGTTACCATGAGAAAGGACTAGGACCGGAAAACATATACCATCCCTCTGTTTGTGCTGTCCTTTTATAGACACTCACATCAAAATGGATCGTTGCTGGAGCAATCACAAGTTAAAGTCTGATCCATAATGTGAATTTTGGTATATTTCCATTTCATTGCCATATTCTGAAGTAATTAGTCACTTTTAAGATGATTTAGACATCAAAAAAAAAAAACTCAATTATTCTAAAATGTTCTCTTTTTCACATGTTATATAATATACATTTAAGTTCAATCAGTTAGAGTTGTGGGAGTATACTAAAACAGCATTATAATGCTCCAAATGGAATGAGCACGCAAGTGACTAAGATGACAATGTTATGGTAATTGAGTGGTGGGTCTAAGTTAGGCATGTTTTGCTCTCATACTTCCGTATTCCTTTATCCTTTTCTTTTTGATGGCCGACATGAAAAGTTAGGGACAAAATTTAATTAAAACAATTTGTACATACCAATAATTTACCTGGACTGTACCTGTTACACACAGTAATCAGTTGTTAAGTACTACACTATCATTGGACAAGAAAATTGCACTAGTCTTTTTCTCACAGATCTTTTACCCCCCTTTTGGATAGCTTTCAGTTTCACTTTTGAAATTGGACTGCTAAAGTCTTAAAACTTTGAATTTTTTTTGTTATGAAGCAGTCATTTACATAATCACAACTGACTCAATGTTTTATATGAAAAAGATCACTGAATGTGCCAATTTTCTGTATGTAACAGCCATATGTTCCCTATAATCTTTACCTTAATTTGTGACTGGTGGTATTGAAATATAGCTCTGAAGAAACAGTAACTGAAAAGTGAAACTTTAAGTGGCTGCATCTAATGTTTTAAAACTCCTGCTATGAATGAGGTTGTCCATTCTGACTGCATGTAATGAAGTCCGGATATAGCTCCTTTGTAAATGAAAATTCACAGGTTCAAATTCGAGAAATATTTGATCTTGGTGTATCAAAGGTTGATGTGGGATCTCAGGTACTGACGGTGACTATGGTGGAGCCAACCGTAAATAGCTTCAAATGATGGATGCTGAGAGCCGAAGGGAATGGTGTGTGCGCACAGTAACAGTAAAAAGGCCAAAGTTTTGGTGAAATCTCCCTTTTATAAAGGATTCCTTACCTAGGGAAGGTCTTGAGCTGGACCGTGTGCCCAATGTGGAGATCTATTGTATTGGTCCATAACAAGAAATAATCTCTTTATAAATATGTACAGATAAGGCCGCATATAAAAATTATCTTCACCCTACCTAAATTAGTAGTTAGGATTTAACGAGGAGTGGTTTTTTATCCGTCACTTTGAAGTGTTTGCATATAATGGCTTTTGGGGATCTGATTCAGAAAGAAGGAAGGAGAAAAGAGTAAAATGATGCATTCAAGAGTTCTTCCGGATCCAAGTCATTATTAATCAACAATAGTACAATATGCCTCATGTTTTTATCATATCACCAAGTTTGGACTCTGGCCACTACATTTGTTGAAAAAAGAAGCAACTGCAAGCTTAATTTAATTTAGCAGTTAGGCCATCTTTATCATTCATGAGCGCTTGTCTCGAAGACAAGACTATTACTAATAGTACTATTAACAAAACATGCCATAGTCTAGTAGAAAATAACATTAGCATGCTCTTAGAAAAAAAAAAAAAATTAGTGAGTGCATTTCGGTGGTATTAGATTGAAAGCGAATGACAGTGCTATCCTTATTTGATTAACTCCATGATTGTGTATTCATATCTCTCACCTACATCTATTGCTGAAATTTGGGCTTTGTTTTTTTTGACCCATTTGACATGCTTTGACTGAGAAAAATATGTTGAAACATGCTGATATGTTAGAGGTCCAATAACAGGAAATAAAAGCTTGTTATCCACAGATTTTGAAGGTGGCAAACGAAGGAAAAGAAGTTGATATGACATGAAAAACTAAAAGGACATGCTATGCGTTTTCCTTGTGGGCATGTACCAAAGAAAAAACTGCTGCCGACTTCTTCCATTATCAATATCCAGCACACAATTTTCCACTTTGTTGTCTTGAATTTTCAAATATCAATTGTACTTGGTAGTGCTCTAGATAGTGAAAATTGAAACAACTAAAAAAAAAATTCAATGGTTTTCCTTTGTCGTTATCAAGATTATAATTAAATTGTTCAAAATCGGCCTAATAGATGTTAGCTATGAAAAAAATTGTCACTGATTAGACCGAAAGTGCAATTACATCATTCAACCATGATATACCTCTTTTTTGTGTTTCTTTTAATGGTTGTGCAATTACATTAATAA